GTACTTGCAACGTGTAAGCAAAACGTTGAAAATTATTGAAATCGGTCAAAATTAACGGCCGATTCTCATATAACGGTAAATTTAAGAAATGCTTGAAAGTTCAATATTTCGAAATTGAAGGGCGCTAATTTACTCAAAATTGATACACCTCGGCTTACCATCTAGCGGAAGGTTTCGGAAGGGTGAAAAAACAAATATTTATTACTTGCGCCGGGTAGTTAATGTTCGGCTCCGCCCGAACTTAGACTTTCTTACTTGTTAATTTTAAGGATGTCTGGAGATATTTGTACAGAAATGCCACGTATTCGAAATTATTTATAATTATTAATTCTAAGAAGGCACAAAAAATTCACTAAAAAGCGAAAGTTAAAAAACATTTCAAATAAAACAAACTACTATATGCTATACTATGCATACTATACTATATACTATAGTTAGCTCGAAGAGTGTATGCAATTTCTGCGTCTTAGATAAGGTGCAAATTATTTCAATAAAACTCAACATAATGGTTACTCCGTATAGTGTTTTTTTAATCATATATTCCATATCCATATTGTTAAAATTAATTTAACCTATCATATACATTGAATTTTTAAGCAAGTGGCAGCCCTGTTAAAAACAGTTTCAAACTATTACCTTATTCAACTTTTCAGTCTGACACCAATATTGTTACACATATTTCAGCTACCTAAATCCCTTTAATTAAAGGTGATTTTAATTTTGAAACGGATGGTAATCCTCCCACATGTTGTTTAGAAATAAAGCCTTTTCAATGACATCTCGATTGATACCCATATTGTAGTATTAATTTAACTTAATTGCATTTGATTTTTTAGCAGGTGGCAACCCTTTTTATGTTCTAACCTAGATATAAACCTTCTCCGCGGCGATATGAATACGTAGGCATCAATGTTTCTACAATCGTAACTCGATACCATGGAGTTATCTATGTCAAACTTGAAGAAACTTTATATTCGTTGTGTTGGTCGAATACTTGGACATCATCCCACTCTATTTACTTGATTTTAAAAAATTGCAGTTTTAAATATTGTAACACGTCGTTTCTGAACATTTTGAGTTGCAATTTTCATAAAAATAATTTTGGCCGCCTAAATCGGTCAAATATCCATATGTGCATTGGAAAAAATTTAGTACTTTCCCCTTGTCGGTGTGATATTATATCTCTTTTCTACCAATGGCTATTTATAATAAGTGAGAAATATGTCTGTTTTCTCTAAAAAACAAGGCAACTAATAATTTTTATGCTCATACTACGCATTGTTGTCATCACAAACTTATCAGCACTAATCAACAAACTACTCATTGTTGTCATCACAAACTCATCAGCAGTAATAAACAAACTCATTGTTGTCATCATAAACTACTCACCACTAATAACCAAACTCATCATTTTTGTCATTGCGAAGTCTTCAGCACTAATCAACAAATTACTCATTTTTCTCATTTTAAAGTGCTTAGTACTAATAAACAAAGTACTCATTTATATCATCATAAACTCCTCAGCACTAATCATCAAAGTCCTAATTTTTCTCATTATAAAGTCCTCAGTACTAATAAACAAACTACAAATTTTTTTCATTATAAATTCCTCTGTACTAATAAACGAAATACTCATATATCATCATAAACTCCTCAGTTCTGCAAAAACCAAATAAGTAGAAAATCAACAATTTTATTTTTACTAAAATAATTTATTTAAGAAAATTAGTTTTGTACACTAGAATACATATTTATTGTTTTCATAATACATACCTATATTTACAAGATTTCTGCTTTTCAAGTTTCATATTTAAAATTTAGTTTATTTATTTTTTTTATACTTATATTTAAAAAGCTAATGCTACTGTTTATACTCCTTTTGTTTTTTGATTATTTTCTAGAACTACAGCTATATTCTTATTTTATTTATGTATTTTTAATACTTAATTCAAAAAAGTTAACGTTACTGGGATTTTGGACTTCATATTCACTTTCTATTATTTTTATTATTAGAATTAATTTTTTATTTAGCAGCTACATATCTTAATTTACGGACTTTATTTTATTTTTAAACAATAATATTTCCAAACTTAAAGCTACTATTTACACTTAGGGCGTTTACTTATCTATTTTAAAGTATGGTTAAATCATAATTTAAGCTTAACTACAAAACGTTCTGTAGAAACTTAACTAAATGTACTTTAAAATAGATAAGTTAAGAGTCCTTATATTATTTTTTTAGTATAAAATATTTTAGAGTTGTTATATTTACGTGTGTTAATTATAATTATAATGCAACCTTTTTCATGTTTTATTTATGTTATATTAATACCAGTATTATTAGTGATATCATTTACAAACTTATTATATAAAACTAGATATTCTATTCTATTCAATACAATAAATGTATTCAGTATCCGGTGCATATGTTATGTACACATCGTTACTTTAATTCATAAAGGCCCTAACCAACACTTTTTTCGAAATACCGTTTTTCACAGATTTTGGTAAAATACACCTTCAATAAAAATTTTAAGGTCTTAGTAACAAAAACAACGGACTTACATGCTTTTTTTTAAAGTCCACAGATATGCATTTGCAAGATTATATGCACCAGATTCTGAACACCCGTAATGCTTCTAAAAAACTTAATGTTGCTATTTACAGTTTCTTACGTATATGTACTTATTCTACACTGTTACTTAAATTTTTTTATTGATATATATATTTTTTATTATTTCTATTATGACTTAAAGTTATGTATTTTCGCATTAAAGTGCGAACGTCCTCCTTCGATTTTTCTGGTAAAATATCTAATAAATGAATTTATTGTTATCAACTTGTAGATATTATTTTTTCTGTTACATAGATACTAACCAAAGAGGAGCTCAGTCTCTTTAAGACCAACAAGTGGGAACTTGCCTGCTCTTCGCTCTAAATTAAAATTTACCACGGTGTCATCTGTGAACAAGCCATGCATAACTCCGTCAACTGTTCCTTTGGTGCCCTTTGCTCTTGCTAAAAGCCCAAACTACATATCGAAGAAAGAGTGTTAATTACAAATTAGATATACTTATATCAATATCATAATGTTACCATTGCGTCAGGGTAAGCTTTATTTTTAAGCTTGGTTTCAATAGCCTGCACTTGCTCCACCGATGACATGGGAATCATAGTAGCTAAGTCAGTTTCTCTTTTTTGTGTACATAAAAACAATGGTCGGAAACAGGCGTAAAAGCATAAACAGCAAAAATAAAATAATTTGTGTGACAGTTTGGATTTAGAAAGGGAGCTGGAACGGAACAGGCAGTGTTAAATCTTATTGATCACATATGTGAAGGGCTTGACGCAGGGTATAGAGGTGTAGCTGGAGTTTTTTTCGATTTCTCGAAAGCGTTTGATCTCGTAGATCACTACATATTAATTAATAAACTAAGACTCTATGGCTTTGATGGAAAGACGTTGGATCTATTTCGCGATTTCTTATCGAATAGACTGCAGTTTGTTCAGGTTGGTGATGCGAAAAGCACAAAGCTACCGGTGAAATGTGGAGTTCCGCAAGGAAGCGTACTTGGCCCACTTTTATTCCTCATTTACATAAACGATGTCAAGAATATTAGCTTTAATGGCAAATTGTTTATGTATGCCGATGATTTATGTCCAGTTTACAGGTACAATTACTCACAGGTTTTAAAAACAAACATTGAATATGATGCGGCTATTTTGACTGAATTTTCTGAAATTAACAAGCTTAAAATTAATCCTGCCAAGACAACATTTGTAAGATTCAAACCATATCATTGTGGTAATGATGAGAAAATGGAGATTTATATTGAAGGTATTCCAGTGGCAGAGTCTGACATGGTGAAATATTTAGGAATTGTTTTGAATCATAATATGCTATGGGATGAACATATAGAGTCGTTAAAGTCCAAAATTTCCTCTACTATTGGAGTTCTTTATAAATTTAGGAATAAATTTAACATTTCTACAAAATTGCTTATTTACCAGTCACTCGTACATTCTCATTTGACTTATTTACCATCTGTTTACGGTTGCAGATTGAGCAGCTCATTAAGGTCACTTCAATCAGCCCAAAATAAAGGCCTGAAACTTGTTTTCAATCTTCCGTTAAGACATTCTACTTTTGACCTATACAATAATTATGCTAAAAATATTCTTCCAGTAGAAGGTTTATACAAGCAAAAGGTTTTAATTTATATGTTTAAGGCCTTAA